AACCTCATCAGTTATTCCTTGCAGTAAAATACTCCAATATGTGTGTGCTGGACTTTCATAGAAGAGCACAAACCAGCTCCAACCAGAACAGAACAGATATGAGAACCTCAGTACCCAAATGAGCAAGAAGTCAAGTATCAGAATTAAGGAAACATATGTCTCACAGCTCCTCAGCTTGCCTTCATCATAGTTTTCAGCACAGTAGATTGTAAAGTAGAAGTCATATTTGAGACTGGGCAAAGAACAAAGATCAAAGAGAAGAAAATGCTTTTATTTCTACAGCTCTGCATAAAGCCACTTTCCACTGTTGATGGTCAAGACTGATGTTTTGCTTGTACCACTGAAAGGAAATCAGGGGTGTCCAACTCCAGTCCTGGAGAGCTACTGTCCTGCAGCTTTTAGATGCAGCCTTGTTCCGACACACCTGAATCAAATGAATGGCTTGTTACCAGGCCTTTGCCAAACTGATGGCATGCTGAAGAGGTAATCCAATCATTTGATTCAGCTGTGTTGGGGTAAAAAAAAAAGGAAAAGTAGCTCTCGAGCACTGGAGTTGATTTAAATAAATTTAAATAAAGCTGCCAGTCGAGGCGTCACCATCACTTTTACCTCTCACGTCTTTCTATTCGGGTTGTAGCTGGTTTGTGCTGTTCTTTAAAGGAAGAACTACACATTGTTTTACAAAGATCTTGTAATATTACTTCACTGTTGTCTATATCAGTTACAAACAATCATTAACTGTATTTTATACCCCATCATCAGCATCAGTATACTACAACACAAATCAACGACAACATAAGCAGGTTTGCTGGACAATCACGGATTGGTGGTTGCTTTTTAAAAAGAGGATGAAAACAATAACTGGACCTTTTCTATGCTTTCATCATTTTGGGTCAGATTATGTTGAAAAGTAACTATTTGTATGGAAGTTGTTGTTTTTTTTATTAGAACTGTCTTACAATAAATTCAAAACAGAAAAACAAATCTAATCCAAAAACTGTTTAATTACTTTAAAATCATACATTTAAAATTCTGAATTTTCTTGTGAGTTCTGCAAATACATTTGCCCTTAATATAATTTATTACCATTCAACCCTGACGTTCGGTTATTAGCAGATATTTTTTAAGCTTGTGGCGCAGTAACAAATACACAGCCTCAGTTTAAAGTCAGTAGTTTCAGTGTTCTGTTTCATGTAAACCACAAGCTGCTGATGAGCCAGTAAAGCAGGCTACAGTGCCTTCAATACCTCTTTAACACCATCTGATACTGGTGCCAGTAATAGTGTTGAGCCAGTTC